TAATGCCCGTATCTTGTCCACAGATGAACAATGGATTGAAAATGTAAGTAGTATATTAGAAAAAAAAAAAAAACGTTAAACCACTTATGGTTGAATTAGTGAACATTATTGCCTTTATCAAAATAGAACACTGAAAGTCAAAAACTACAGCTGTAGTTTCTTTAGTTTACTTGCTCTCATTTTGAATTAATAAAATAGTTAAAGCTGAACTCCAGGACACAAAAAAAAAAAATCCCCCTGCAGTAGGGACCCTCCACACTGCTTGTTAAGTGTTGGGTAGATAAATAACCTCTAATAGTTGCCTTATTCCTAATGCCAGCAGGCTTCCAGTGCTCACCTCTTAGCTGCGATTGGTTGTGGACAGGCCCTCACTGTCCTCATAAAATAAAAAGGACTATTGGTCTTGCATTGAATCTAAATATATCACACTGCAATTGCTGGCTGGAGTGCCTAAGGGCTCATTCACACTAGGCTGTTTTGCCAACGCTTGCCAAACGCCCCTATAGGTGTTTGCGGAGCGTTTTTAACGCTCGGCAAACGCTCCGCAAACGCCGCATGCGCGGTTTAGCGGCGGTTGCTAGGCGTTTGCCGAGCGTTAATAACGCCCCACAAACGCCTATAATGCATTTGAGTGGTGTTACCTCTCCGCAAACACCCCGCAACCGCGTCGCAACCGCACCGCAAACGCCGCCGGGCGTTTGCGGAGCGGCACCATAGACGAGAATAGGAGGCTTCAAAGCCTCCTGACTCGACCAGAGGCGTCCGTTTTGCCGCGACGCAACGCGACGCAAACGCTCCTGTTAGAACAGCACCATGTGCTGTAATGTGCAGAATTGGCAGAGGCGTTTGGGAAGCGGTAAAAACGCTTCCCAGACGCCTCTCTGCCGCCTGCACACAAGGCTAGTGTGAACGTAGCCTTAGGCTGGTCATACATTCAATTTTTTAATTTCATTTCCTAGAAATACCTTCAACTATGCAACACATGGGCCTGTCTGATTGCATACAAATTGAAAATGTTTAGCTTTGATCTCATATTATATGGTTTTGGTATATTTAAGTGAAAATTTTATAATGTATGGACAACCCTAGTGAAGAGGTTTTAGGAGACCCAGTCACACAGTGTGGAGCCAGCTTGTGCGGGTAATAAGGTACTATTACATTTAATTTCTCCACCACTAGACTTAATGGGCATTTGACTCTTGAAATGCTCGGGTAGGAGGGACCTACTGCAAAGTTTTTTTTTCTGGGGCTTTATCATTTCCTACAAGGACCTTGAATTGCATATTCCCTTTTATTTTCCTCATATCTGTGCAAACCAAAGCATCCCTTTTACAGAGGAGATATAATATCTGTTTTTAATTTATACTGCTACTGTACCTAAAAATATTATTGAAAAGTTAGTTTCTTGAAAGTGCCAAGCCTTCTTCATATTATATTCTTAATTCTAAAACCATGTCAGTTCCCAAGGCTTAATAAAAATACTTGCCGTTGTGTGTTACTTGCCTTGGGTTCACTATCAAGGGCATTATGCCAGTGGTTTTGAGTTCATATACAGGAAGATGAATTCCTTCTCATTGTGCATGCATCTCTTGCAGTCTATTGGACAAGCCACAATACGTAGTGTGATAGAATTAGGAGGTATCAAACTATCGGGTTGCTTTACTAAAGGCAAATAGACTGTGCACCATGCAAGTGCAATTGCACTCATTTTCTCCAGAGCTTAGTAAATGTGGTAAAGCTTTGCTGATTTCTATCATCCAATCCTGTGGAATCAAAAATTTGTATTTTATTTATTTTTCTTATTTTTCCTTGCACTGGATTGGGTATCCTTTACAAAGTTCTGCCTTGTCACACTGACGTTTACGAAGAAGGAAAAAAAAAAAAAAAAAAAGAATGCTCTGACAGACATATTATCCACTTTCAGGCAGCTGGCCCTTTAAGAGTCTTTAAAACTGGAGACATAACATGGGCTTCCTGATCCTGTGTTCACTGATTTTCCAACCCTACTGGTTCCCAAACTTCAGCAGTGACATGGAGCTGTCAGTGTCAGCATTGTCACGGTGCTGAGTGAACATGCTTCCAGCACAATACCACAACACCCACCATGCTGCCCACCACCATGCTGCCACATATATGTGTATAGCTGGAATTAAGGTGTTGCATATGTGCGATCTTTGTTCCTTTCCGTTACAAATACATAATAGGGAGAAGGCATCCATGTTGAATTTGCGGATTTGGATAAAAAGAAACTGAAATTCTGAGTCCTTTTTTTTTTAAAGAAATATTCCACATTCATTAAAAAATTGATATAACATCTATAGTTTTAACAAGTAATTTTGTAATTTACACCCTCATTCAAAACAGATTTGTTTGTTAAAATGTAAGTATGAGTAAAATCAAAGTTACATTTATGATGCAGCCTGTCATTAGTATTAATACAACAGTTTTTTCTTTTTCTGTGTTTCCCATAGCTGCTTCATTGGGGTGGGGCCTTAGAAAAACAAATTCTGTGGTAAAACTAGTGACAGAATTCAGCATATGTAATTTTTGCTTTTGCCCATAGCTACAATTAGAGGGAGATTTACTAAAATTGAAGAGTGCATAATCTGGTGCAGCTGTGCATAGAAACCAATCAGTTTCCAGGTTTTACTGTCAAAGCTTAATTGAACAAACTGAAGTTATAAGCTGCTTAGCTACCATGCACAGCTGAACCAGATTGTGTGTGCTCCAGTTTTAGTAAATATCCCATCTTAAGTGTTGATTCTTAAAGGGAAAGTATGGCATATTTCCAGCAAACCCATAGCTTGAGATAATATTGCGGAGTTTATATTAAAGTGATTTTAATGTGTCAATCACATATTTACAAAAGCTTGCTTGTTAATTTTTATTTTATTAAATGTAGAGATGTGTAGATTAGCCACTAGGGAGTGCATTGGTTGCAACCAGTCAACCAACTCCGATTTGCATTGCAAAAAGGAGCAACAAAACCATTATGTAAGACTGTACAGAATCGCATGGAGCCTACACATTGTAATGTGCACATATGGTTGCCCCGTGTACATGCATAATTGCAATTTATAAAAATAAACACTTTTTTTTTAAAGATTAACAAACACTGAAACGCTTATATCAAGCTAATCTTTTTCACATTTAAAATAAAAGTGAAAAGAACTATACATTCCCTTTAAGTGCAATTACCCAGAGCAGCAAATTAGAATCCACTTTGTACTGCTCTAACTTCAGCAGGAGTAAATTTGTACTGGCTGTTACCGGTTATTGCTCATGCTTTAAAAGTCATCTTTCCATGTTACCCCTCTGATTTTTAAACAAAATGCCAAAAAAGCTCAAAGTCCTGCATCCTTGTAACGAAGGCCATAGTAGGGGAATTCTCTAAACCGTTTGTGTGTACAAATCATCCCCGTAAATGTAATTTCCTGCTCACGATTTCTTTTACTATTTCACTGGGACTGATCTAGTGGCCACAACAGGTGAACCCTACCGCTTGGCACTTTGAAAGTAGATTGGGATACACATGTCTATTGAAAGAAAAAAAAGAGAAAAAAAAAAAAAAGGAAGAACAGTGGAAAGTCTGCAAAGAAGTTAGGCAAAAATCCTGCAATGTATTTTACTGAACTTTAGAGGATTACAGACAGACAATCTATGGAAAACAGAAGCCACAGAAGTGGCAAGATTGCCATACAAAGTTCACACAGCTTGCCTTATGCTGTCAAAAAATATTTCACAGTGATACTCAACTAATCTACCCTGCTCTTTTCCAGTTATAAAGCAAACAGCTGCAAGCCAAATTATATCACAAATTCATAATGGATGCCTTACATGTCCAAAGCAGTTTTCTTGGCCCTGTTCCTATCGAAATACAAATTCCTGGCTGGGGCATTGATGTCTTACATGACAATCATATAGAGCAATTCTTTAACCTGTGTGAGAATTTGAAAACCTGCCCCTTAGTAGACCTTTAGGCTGCGTTCACACTTTCTAGCTTGAAGCTCCAAAATCAATTGTTCTCTATGGTGCATGTTCACACTTGATTATGGTGCCTGTTTGGGCAATCAAGTGTGAACAGGCACCATAGAGAACAATTGATTTTTTTAAGCTTCCAGTTTCAGATTGCTCAAGTGTGAATGCAGTCTAAGTTACATCAGAGATAACAATGATATGATAAATGCCTCCTAATGTGCACAAAAGGCACTGAAGAAAATAAAGTGCTTTATCCCTTTCAAATTCCTGCGACTTTGCCATACCTGGAATTCTTCAAGGCCTGAAGTACATTGGCACTGGTGCAGATGGCATTTTATATACACCACATCCTAATCCTTTTACACTATTCTTGTAACAGAACAGAGTATCAGAATGGTTTACTAGGTCCAATGGAATACGTATTTGCTGACAAAGAGTGTTGGTTAGAAATTACAAAGACTTATTCAAAGCCAAAAGGATTTTGCATCTGTAAATACATAGACATGTATATGGCCCTGGAGATACAGTCATATATATATATATATATATATATATATATATATATATATATATATATATATATATATATATATATATATATATATTTTATTTATTTTTTCTCAGCATGATCATTACCCCTCTGTTTTCACAGAGCAGTACTTTGCCAATTTCCCACAACTTCACTGGAAAGATATGTAAACATGCAACAATGCATAAACAGCTGCACTGACAAAATATACATTATGTTGAATCACTGTTGAAATACCAGCCATATGGTGGGTAACCATATTTATCATCAATCTCCTGAGTATTCCATTTCCTCAGCTATGACCCAAATGAGCCCACCAAAAAGCTAATTTTAATAAAGTAACCTTAGATACCTTCCTTTTCAGTTAGTGGGAAAACTTTTCCAGTGCAACTATGAGAGACCCAATGAACAAAACAAAATCCTAAATGGATATTCCAAGCAGTTTAAGATAATTGTACCGTTTTTCAGCATTCCCGCCCTTTCCAAAAACACCTCAGATATAAGGGTTTTTCATTAAATATCCAAAGTGTTGTGGGTTTTCCATGATACATTTCGGAGCATACATGTGCTCATGTGGGTCAGCTGCAGGATACTCTTGTTTTGTACCATCAAACCAACCCCCTGTTTTTATAAGCCACTTTATATAGTTCAGATCCCTTTTGTCTTCATAGTCTCCCCATCTTGGGAAATCCCCATTTTGTGCAGAAATCAGTTTGAAATGAATTCCTTCTGGTGGGAAACACCATGAGCAGTGCCAGCCAGCAAAATGTAAAGGACTTCCCACAGACCACTGAACCAATATATGTCCTGTTTTGTTCTCATACTGTCGGAAGTTAGGCATAGTATAGTATTCCCTTCTGCGGAGGCGGATACCATCTGTGCCATACACTAAGCGAAGCATTCCAATGGTGCAGCCAGAAATCACTTCAAGGGTTCCTGGTTGCTTCCAAAAGAAGCCATAGAGTGACTTGCGCATGTGAAAAGCAACTGGCTCTGTCCACCCATCATAAAGTTTAAGGAATAACACACCTTCTTTGCTTGGAATCTCATCAGCATCATCTATGATAAAGAGATCATCATTTCGCAAGTTTTGTAATCGAGATATTCCATTGCGAGTCAGAAATGTTCGTAGATAGTCATCTGCTATCCACCCATCCTGTTTACCCCCTTCCGGGAAGTGGTCTAAGAAAATATACAACACTTTTGATTTAATATAATCAAATGTTCCGTTGAGAAGCATTTGGCGAAATAAGAGAGACCGTGCTTCCCCATAAGCTGTAAAGTTTGATTCACATATTAAGAAGACATCCACAGCCCCCTCAAGCTCTTGGAATCGTGCCTCCAGGAGGTCAAATTCATGGTTGATGTTGATGGCATTGATGACACGACGAGGCTTTAAACGTGGCGTTAACCGGTCCTTTGTTGGGAGGTTGGAATGCTGAACAACTGTTGGCACTCCACAACTAGGTCCATGCCACCCAGGCAAACATACACATTCCACCCATTTCCTGCGTCTCTGGGTTTGCTGTTGTTGCTGCCGAGAAACACCAGAGAACGATTTACGTGGAGAGGGTCTTTCTGGTTTCTCAGAAGGTGGGCGGTCTAGTGCCTTTGTCCCTGGTTTGAAGCATACACCTCCTGATTTAGTTCTCACAAAATACTCTGCTGCGTCTTCCTGCAACACAAATTCTTTCGTATGCATGTCATCTATGCTAAGACTTTCACCACGTGATGAAGGTCGAGGCTTCGGTTGCTGAGCAGAAAGTTGAGGAGGCCAATAGTAACCTGGAGTACGCAAAACCTGGGCACTGTCATCCATCCTCCTTTCTACATGTTGAGGTAATAATGGCCGGGATTCCCAAAAGAATCCAGAGATGAAGTTTGGACTCAGTAACACCAATTCACGGGAGAGTGAAACATAGGAGAGGGCCTTCAAGAAATGAAGGACAGAGATCACGCAAAGGCCAGCCATACAAAGTAGCAGGAACATCCTGTGCCACCGCATCTTCATCCTGTCCAAAAAAGTAAAAAACAGGTTAGAATAAGGGAATAATCAAAACAGCTCAAAATTAGAAAATCTTCTCAGTGCTCATCGAATCTTAAAGTGTTACTAAACCCAGGACCCTGCATCCACACTATCTGGTCTCCCACAGTACACAGAACATGGAAATGCAATTACTTTAGTAAATAAAAAACTGCTAAATACCTTTTCTCAGCAGTTAGAGAAGTCTTGTGACTTCTATCAGTGTTCAGCAGAGCACTGGCTAAAGCTTGGATGAGGAATTTTCTGTCTGCTCTAGGAGGATGCAGAACCAATGACCTCTGTCTGGACTGGACAGTGCTGGTTGGCCCTGTGCTGATCACATGCATTCTCCCAAGAAAACAAAAAAAAAAACAAAAAAAAAAAAAACAAAAAAAAAAAAAAAAAAAACCTCTCTAGCAATATACACCAAACTGAAAATGTGCATAGTGTCTCCACACAATATGTCTTATCAGGAGATAAGAGGGGGGCACTGGAAGAAGGAGAGGATCATAGAAGTCAGGATCAAACAGTATTTTTACACAATGTAGAGGATCAACCCCTTAGGTTCCACAGCGAGTATAACAAGCATGCTTTACTGCATATACAGACTGATTTCACTGTTCTGGGTTTAGCAACTCTTTTAAATATTTGTGAATGGACAGACCATAAAATATTTAAAAATTACCCCTCCCCAATAACTGAAATAGATAACACAATACCAAGTGCAAATATGATACACAATAGACCATACGCTGTATATTAGATAGTGGATTCTGCACTAAGAATACTCAGGAAAGTATTAAAGGAAACAAGTGTCTGTGCTTTTCCCTTAGAAACAAGCTGAACCTGTTTACTTCTAAATGCCGATTAGACAGGAAAGCAGGGAAAGTGAGGGTGGGGGGGAGATACCAATGCCTAAACATTTTTTACTTTAATGCAAAGAATGGGGTTTCTAAGGTATTTAGCCTTTGAATCAAAAATACACATGTAAGCAAACCTGTACTTCAAATCAACATAATAAACAAATGTAAAAAATTAAAACTAGATAAAACTATTTTATCTTTTGGTTGCTTCGGACTACAAATACCTCTAGGAACGTGTTACCAGAACAGAATCATAGGCCTTTTGCCCAGCAAGCCATTACGCTATAGCTACAGGCTTCTAAAGCTGGACATAGACTAGAAGAATATTGTTCAGCATTTGTTGTAAGAACATTTGTTTTCAACCACAGTGATGAGAAATTTTGAAGAAGCAGGATGTAAATTTTCTTTCGAATGTACAAATTTATAACAGCGTATGTGATTTTCATTCAGTAAAGCCTAATCAGTTATTGTAAAACTGAATGGTACAAGCAAACTGTTAAATTAGTTTAGAACACCATTCGAATGTACCAAGAATTTGCATACAAGTTTTCCTAAGACATTTTCGTAAGAAATTTCCTCAGAAATTCTACTAGTGTATACCCAGCTTTATATAGCTGGATTGGTGATTTCAAATATTATTGTTCCAGATGAACCCAAGGTGGAGCCACACACACTCTACTGCGCATACACGTACGGCCAGTGGCCATTTTGGAAACTGGAAAATTTTGATTGTTTTTGCCAATCAATACCCAATTAGGTTTGCTTACATGTGAGTGCAACCATACTTTAAATAAATGTTGTGATTATGGTTTTACACTATGTGGACCGGTCTCTCTTTGCATGTTTTCCACTACAAGTCCAAGCCTTATCCTGAGTGGTTTAGCTACCCTAAATAAGGTCCATTGTTTGGAAGATCCTTATCTGCTGTTTTGGTGATCTGGAGGAGAATTCGAGTGAGTGACCAGCTTTCTGGGTTGTTTAACAAAGCGTGATTGACCACTCTTAACAGGGGGTCATGCCTTCCTGGTAAGCTTTCTGTAGTAGTGGTTGGTGACATGACAACTGTCCTTGGATTGCTTTTGTTTCATCACAGCCTCTGGGACTTTTATTTTTGCATGGACTATTTTTTTACCGTTTTCTTATGATTATTTGTAACTTTTTAAGCACTGCACTTTTATGTATTTATTGTTGTTAAGACCTGTCACTTTTGGCCCAATTTATGGGGACTCATTTTTTCAAGATTGTAGATTAACTGATATTTTGCTTGCCTATTCTTTTTTTTATTTAGGATTGAATGGGGTTCCTTTCTGTCCTGGTGACAATTTCACCAGTAAGAAAGCAAGGGTACATATCTAATAGCAACACAGACATTTAAAAACAAAAAACACTATTTCAAAAGAGAAAAGGTAAGTTAGAACTCCCATATTTTATTACAGTTCTCTATGTCCATGCTGTCTATATTGTGGATTTGTTTCCTACTTCCCGCCTAGTGAAACCATTGTCACTAGTACAGAATGCAAAAAAAAAAAAAAAAAAAAACCACCTCAGCTTAAACCTGCTCCCACCCTTTGCTAAGGGCTCGTTCACACTTGACTAATTTCTAACTCTTCCCAAACGCCCCTATAGCATTTTACAGGAGTTAGGCGTTTGGTAAGCATTTTTAATGCTCCTCAAATGCCCTATGCGTGTTTTTGAGGTGTTTTCCAATCGTTAAAACTGCACCACAAATGCCTATAATGAAGTTAATGGTATTAATGCCCTGCTAACGCCTGCCAGGAGTTTGAGGAGCATCACCATAGACTGGAATGGCAGTTGTTGAAAGGCTTCAACTCCTCCCGACTCAACATGAGGCATCAATTTTGCCGCGATGCTAAGGCTTCAGTGTGAACAGCATTGTTTGTTGCCATGTGTATAATTTTCATAGGCGTTTGAGTATTAAAAACGCCCTCAAACGCCTGCCTACAAAGCTAGTGTGAACTTAGCCCAACTCCTGTTCTAGCTACCCTGTGAAAGGAAGATGCTTATACTTACCTATATCCACAACGGTTGGCTTCAGGGGAGGGGAGAGAATGCCAACCGCTGAAATGCTTGTGCAGTAACGTCACCCATAGGCTATGGGTTTCAATGGGTCATCTGTTGTAAGCTCTCTCCCCTATCCTAAAATGGCCGGTGGGAGCTGATCTAGGGGACTGGAGCACTCTCAGAATAGATAAGATAGGTATCTTCCTTTCACATATTAGTTGCAATAGTTACAATGGGGGTGGGAGCAGGTTTAAGCATAGTTATGTAAGCTCGAAAAAGCAGGGCCCTCAATCCCCTCATGTTTTGCATTGTATTGGTATTGTTCTGTCACATGTTCTGTCCCCCTTTGTAATGTACAGCACTGAGCAAACTATTGGCGCTTTATAAATACTGTATAATAATAATAGTTAAGAAAGCCTGGACTTCTACTTTAGTCTTTCATTTATTTTTACATCTTAGAAATCTTCAAGTCAATGTACCCTTGCGTCAAAGATGGTGGTGTCCAGCTGCAATCTCAGGGCTTTTACAGATAAATAACATACAGAAAATAATATGTTAAAAGCACATACAGTATAACTTTAGAGGAAAATCATTGTTAAAATGAATGCTCTGGTGACAGGGTCTCTAAGACACATTGTATCTGAAGAGGAATTTCTGGACAATCTGGCATGGTCTGGTGACAGGGTCTCTAAGACACATTGCCAGATTGTCCAGAAATTCCTCTTCAGATACAATGTGTCTTAGAGACCCTGTCACCAGACCATGCCAGATTGTCCAGAAATTCCTCTTCAGATACAGTGTTCTTAAGAAAGTGACTTGTAGAATCTGGCACATTTTAGTGCCTATTTGACCAGGGGGACCTTGGTTTAGTAATTTTTTTTAATTTAGTTGAACCACTCATGGCACCAGAAATAGATCATCAAGTCAGAAATTCTAGAACACTCCCCCCTTGCCTATTTTTACATGCCTTTACCATTTTCAACATGCCTTATTAAAAAATAAATACATAAATTACCTTTACAACATATTAAATAGTCTCATAATATCACAACGTTTAGGCCTCTTGCACTCTGGACTTTAAGCCCCTGTGCCTGGGATTCTAGCATTCTTGTTTGGGTGAAAGGCACAGGTGCACCATCCAGTCCCGCTGCCTGTTAAAGTCTAAGCTTAAATTTACACTGACTTTCAGCAAAATGCAGGGAGAATTTATGTGCATTTCCATCCATTTTATGTGCATTTTAAACAGTTGACTTGCGTTGATGCACATTTTGATGTGCGTTGACACGTTTTAGTATGCATTAAAATTCTATACATTTTGAAAGTTTCCTGTGACATCACATCCTGTTATTGTTTGTGGGTTGGGGACCAAATTAAAGACAAGGGAAAGATTTTTTTTCTTTATTTGCATTGCGTTGTGTGTTTTACATGTGTTGCAATCATGTTGCATTTTAATGCAATGCAGGGTTGTAGTGTGAATTTTTTCTAGAAAGCTGCTGCATCTGGACACCATGACTAACATTTATTGTGTGTACCCAGGGACGAATGCCCAAATTCAGACTTGTTGCATATTAGGCATTTGTCCCTGGGGGCATACGCTCATAAACATTAGTACCACCAAGTTTAGTGTCCAAACGCAGCAGCTTTCAGCCTCTCAGACTGCTGGCAGTGGGGAAGGATACTACGATTGTGCCTTCTGAGTGCACTAAAACACTAGGATTGGCTAAATGCCTAGTCTGCATGTGTCCTTAATAGTTCCCACCAATCTTCAAAACAAAAAAAGGACAGCACTGTGAC